TAATATGCATTGCTAAGGACTTCATTTGGACAACTTTAAAGATGATTTTCTCAATATTTTGATTTTTTTGCACCCTCAGATTCCAGATTTTCAAATAGTTGTATCTCGGCCAAATATTGTCCTATCCTAACAAACCATACATCAATGGAAAGCTTATTTATTCAGATGATGTATAAATCTCAATTAAAAAAAATTGGCCCTTATGACTGGTTTTGTGCTCCAGGGTCACAAATACATTTTTTGGCATTGCACAGGCACAAAGAGAGCGATGCATCTAGCACACACTCACCGTCTGAAACTGGATCATTTCCTGCAGGCCCTGGTTGAACTGACGCAGGCAATTCTACAGAAACACACACAATCAGAGGTCAGCATGAGCGGTCTGATCAGAGAGCTCGAGCCATAAGACATTAGCGCTCACCAGAATAACACCGTCGCTCTTGTGATATGCTGTAAACTCAGCCAGGCCGGACAGAAAGAGCTGATTGCAGGAGGTGTAGTTCTGACCCGCCTCCACCATCTGACCACACAGCTTCATCACCTGCAGACAGACAGAGCACAGAAGAACAGTGTGCTGGGATCATGAGAAAATCATTTTACTTTCAACTTTACACACGAGACAGTTGGATGTAACTTTCAGAACTCAAAACATCAACACATGATAATCTGTGGAAATGGTCATGAAAAAAAACAATACACAAAATAAAATATAAAATATGACAAATCAAGTCTAACAATATAAACTTAAAATATAATATAAAACATGACTATGATAATATATAATACTTATAAAAATCTAAAGAAAAATATTGCGTGAGAAACAATGTAATATATGTATGTAATACACACATACAGTATATACATATATAAAACATATAAAACATGACTATAATAAATATAAAAATATACACTACAATTTAATATAAAACATCACCATAATAAAATATAACATAAAAACAAAATAAAATATAATATAAAACATGACTATAATGAAATCTAAAAATACAACTAAAATATAATAACATGGCTATAATAAATCTAAAAATATAAACTAAATTTTAAAAGAAAAATATTTCATATTTATGGCACAAAAATCTTCACTGGCATTATCAGCGGACCTCGTTGGAAAAATTAAATGCTCCAAAAATGTATATGATGCATCTTACTTTCTCCACGCGGCTCTCCAGTTCTGCAACGTCACTCTCACATTCATCCAGAGACTGCCTGCACACACACACACACACACACACACACACACACACACACACACACACATTAATCTGACAGCAGATACACCATCCAGCCCAAGAGCATGATGGGTAGTTCACAAATGATATCTCCATAAGCCTTTTTTTTTTACATTTTAGGTTCAAATTAATATAAGCAACGACATTTCAGGTTTTTCTTCATTTTGCATTATTTACATTTTTGTTTCTTCTTTTGCTGCAGTACAACACTTGCAGTGTGAAAAATGAATTATTAATTACACACGTATACTGTGTAGTAATTTAATTTAAAATGTTGTTTAGATAGTTTTAGATGCAGTATAGCATCTCATGTCAACTACCCATCACGACACATTTCCTAAAGTCATTTTATTAGCACTGGGTCTGCTATATGCACATCTGAGGAATCACACAGTGTGTTATGAATGTGATATTATTATTATTAGCATTGGGTCTGCTATATGCACCTGAGGAATCACACAGTGTGTTATGAATGTGATATTATTATTATTAGCATTGGGTCTGCTATATGCACTTCTGAGGAATCACAGTGTGTTATGAATGTGATATTAATACCTGAACGCAGGAGAGTCTCTGATGCACTCCTCAAAGTCCAGGAAAGTGTCCATGTTTCGCTCTGTCCTTATGAACTCAGTGTTTGTAACTATAGCTTGACGCACTATAAGACATTATATCCAGACACGACTGATCCCCGCATCACTGTCTCCGGTGCAGATCATCATCCGTGAGCCGTTATTATCTCACACTCACTGACAGGACTGCGCTGCATCACACGCTGCAGATACTGCACACGGACCACACTAACGCACACGATTCATTAAATCATATCATTCAAGCTCTTTACGATGTTTGAGTCTGTCTCGAGCTGTGTTGACAGCTGCGGAGGTGTTTGTTCATGTTGCTTTTTCGGTGCCGGAAATCAAGCGCGTAGAGGATGTCCGGTCCGGCATTTTCAAAATAAAAGCATGAACTATAACGTAAAATAAAAGCTAAAAATGATAGATAGATAGATAGATAGATAGATAGATAGATAGATAGATAGATAGATAGATAGATAGATAGATAGAATTTAAAATAAAATTGACAATACAATAAAATACTATTATTTTTTAAAAATTGAATAAAATTAAAAAGAAAAAAACTAAAATAACATATAAAATAAAATCTAAAATACAATTAAATAGAATAACAAATAAAACTAAATTGTAATGAAACAAAAATAAAATATCTAAAATAAAATATAAAATAAAATAAAAGATATAAATATAGAATAAAATAAAAGATAAAATTAAAACTATTTTACCTTTTTTAACACTATTTATTAAAATAAAATAACATCTATAATAAATTAAAATTAAAAATCTAAAATGAAATAACATTTCAAATACAATAAAATCTGAAACAAAACAAAATAAAAACTGAAATAAAATTGGATAAAATAAAATAAAATAAATTAAATCTAAAGTAAAAGAAAATTAAATCTAATAAAAAAGAAAATCCCAAATGTGCAATAAAAACATATTAAACAAACCCTTTAACTAATACCTTTAACTAATATTTACACAAAATCGCTGACTAAATAAAAAAAATAAATCTCTAAAATATTAAATAAAGCTATTTCAACAGTGAATCAGTAGGTTTAATACTGCTGATATTTTAAACAATCAGTACACATTGACTCACATACACAGGAATTCAGAGAGGACACAGATATTGTGAGATTGTATAAAAGTTTATTGTTTAGTATTTGATGGCAAACAGCAAAAATACTAAAATCTGACACAGTGTTTTCAAAAGCCCTGCTTTGGAAAAAAAAAATCAAGTTGAGATTCAAGCATCTCTATAATAAGCCTCATTTTCCTTCCTCTGAATACTTCCTCTGAATTCATGCATTCATGTGTATCTGTGTGTGTTTGTGTAACAGAAAAGATTCTGAATGGAAGTGAGTGTGTGTGTGTGTGTGCTTGTGTGTGTGTGTGTGTGTGTGTGTGTGTGTGTGTGTGTGTAATGATTTCAGAACTCAATAGAGACAAGAATAACAGTGACATTGTCCGCACTGCCCCGCCTCACAGCCTCACTGGCCAATCGCTGACAAGCTGCCTCAAATCCCGCCTCCTCACTCTGCCCCTCCTTCTGCTCCACAGTCTCATTCTAAAAAACAAAACCATTTTAACATACAATACACACAGCAGAGTTATTTTAGAAATAAGATACTATTACAGTTTTTATTAATATTTCGAATTTTTTTTTTTTTTTCATTTTCATTTTAATTATTTTTAGTAATTTTGTTGTGTTTTTGTCATTTTTATTATTTTTTTGTTAGCTTTTTTTAAATATGTCTATATAGTTTCTATTAAATTTTATTTCAGGTTTTTTTAATTTTTATTTTAGTACATCAAGTTAAAGTAAATGAAAAGAATATTTATTATATAATAAAAAAAAATTATATTTTATTTTATTTAAGTTAACGCTTATTTTTCAAGTAACACATTTTTTAACAAAGTTTTTATATTTTTATTTAAGTTTTATTTTAGTATAAGTTAAAGTAAATTAAAATAATGTTTATTATATAATAAAATAAGGTTTTAATATTAAAAGTATATAAAAATGTTATAAAAGTAACATTTTTTAAAGTTTTCGTAAATTTTATTTCAGTATATTTTTTGTTATTTTAGTATACATCTGGATTAAGTAAATAAAAATAATATTTTTAAGCATTTATTTTTCAAGTAACAATTTTTTTATTATTTTTTTATTTAGTGTTCTATAATAATGCTGGCACATAGAACGAGGAAGTGCATTAAAATACACACCTCTAGAATGTTGAGGATGAACTGAACGGCCTCGTCTGCAGAAAACACTTTAAAAAGCCCATCGCACGCCAACAGAACAAACCTAAAAACACAAATCCTTCAAACAAAGTCCTACAGGTTTGAAACCACACAATAGTGAGAATGCTTTCTGGTAAACAAAGTGTTTCTGCATTAAACCCACCTGTCATTTGGACTGAGTTGACATCGCCGCACGTCCGGAGTGGAAATCACTCCACAGCGTTTATACTGACCGTCACCGATGGAACGAGACACTTCCAGCACTCCCAGCACACGACCGTCCCTGCGAACACACACCCGGTTACAGCAACCACGACCCGCATCCCAGAACTTCGGTGGCTGAGAAGTGCAAAACAAATCACAATTCTGAAAACAAAATAACAAGTCAGAAAACACTACACAAGGAACAAAACACAAGGACAAATCAGACAACCCGGAAGAGGCAGGTATAGTTTGAGACAGCGCCACTGGTGTGAGAATAGATTACTCACCGCTGACTGGACGAGACATCTG